CTTTAAACTGTTGTTTTCGCTTGCAAATCACTGTTCACAGGCTTGCAGTGCTTTTGACCGTCTTTTGGTGAAAAAAACGTGCCAAACGTGTAAGCGAGGAAAAATGGAAGTCAGAAGGAGATCATATTTATTTTGCATTAGCATGAAGCTGCAGTTTCACAATACATAAATTACACTTACGAGTATGAGTAAACTGCTGCAAATAGTTGTTTCTTACGCTTGAAACGCGATTTACACCTAGCTTCTGTTGCGCGTGCAATTTTAATTTACGCTTACAGTCTTATGTACACTTCCACAACTCTTACCCTGCGTATTTAGATCTTATTGACGTCTTTCTACCTTCATAGAAATGAAGTACAAGCTGAAGTTAGCGTGTAACCATCCAGTACCAAACACACCACAGCTGCTCTGGAGCTTCTGATCTTTACTGAATCACTTCCATATGACAGAGATATACATATAAATGTTTTCTTGGTCACACATTAGTTTGGGGACCAATTCTCACTTTGAACTATTACTGCGTGTACTGCGTCAGGCTAACTGAGACTTATCACAGCACTTACATATTATTGCTCTTTAGTTGGTTTTGATTGCTTCTGTTGTCCTCATTTATAAGTCACTTTGGATAAAAGCATCTGTTAAATGCCCCAAATGTAAAGTAAATATTAACTACGACTTCTGCCTCAATAAACTCCTAATTTGCTGCTTATTAATAATTAGTAAGGTAGTAGTAATAGTAAGATAACAGCCATAGTAAAATGCATGCCAATAAAGACCTAGTTAATATTGAGAATTGATCCCTAAACTAAATTTTAACCATTTTCTCAGTCTCCTAAAGTTTGTGTTGCTTGTGTTTGTGTCAAGGTGGTTGGTTTCTCTTGTTGCGTCTGTCCATATCCCATGCTCCATCAGTGTTTATATTGCCATAAATAGGCTGAGACATTTTTGTAAATGGTGGATGCTCTGTGTGTTTTTGTAGTCCTCTGCTTTTTTACTCTAATTTCAGTAGGTGAGGCCAGTGGGGAAAAAAATGTCTTTTTAAAGGGCATTGTAGTGGTCACCTTGTGGTTTCACTGATCTGAGGACAGTGTGTGAAGTCGCATGACATGCGACTCTTAAAGAAGCTAAAAGAAACATTTTGCTTTAACATAACTTGAGTAAGTGACTTCTTTCTGTGTGACTTTAAAGCCTGCATGAAATCAAAATTCACAACATTTATTCACACCAGATGATTGCATGAGAGGAACACAAACTCACTGTAGCTGCTCTGGAGCTTCAATTCCTCTGTTATTCCATGTATTTAATCATGTCTCTAAAGCAGGTCACAGTGTGCTGCAAGAGATCAAATCCTCTACAGATGTGTATTTGATTCTTAAGAAACCATTCAAATTGGTACTGGAGTACTGACAATGACCAGTGTGGAGCCATACAATCTTTAATAATGAAAATGACATAAGGGTAACATATAAACAACTTGCTAAATATAAATAAAGTAAAGCAATCTGGGGTTTAGCTTTCAAAAAAGCAAACATCTAATTAATGGTAAGCCACGTATGTGTCACAAAGCAAGGCCAGACACAACAGGTAAGTGCAAATCAGGATGGTTTATTGACTGGGTAAGGGGATGACTGGAATAGGTGAGTTAAAGGCAGGTGAGTGTCAACACAGTCAATGGTTCCAGGGTGCTTATCTGAGTTCTGATGGTGAGGATCGGATGCCGGTTACGTTGGAGGATCACAGGAGGAACAGCAGGTAATTAGTTCTAGAAGAATTTGGCAGAGAGAGTCCAGAGCAGTTCGTAAGAGTGAACGGTAGACCGGACAGTGAGTGACTGAGATGTGTGTGTATTTGTAGTGTGGCTTGATTGGTGACAGCAGGTGCGGGTGATCAGAACTCAGGGGACTGTGATCGGATAATTATCCTGGATGGTGACTGAAGTGACTGCGATGAATCCCTGACAGTATGTAGGTGAATAGTTTTTTTTTGTAGCAAAATACAACAGTTTTTAGGAAGCGACTACAAATTAATGCATGTATAGGCCTAAACAGGTATTACTTCTAGATCAGGAGTGTTCAGTCCTGCTCCTGCAGGGTCACCATCCTGAAGACTTGAGCTGTAACTCACCTGCCTGGAATCTTCTAGTGATCCCAAAGACCGTGATTCGCTGGTTAAGATGTGTTTTAACAGGGTTATTATCATTAGCTAAAACTAAAACTTAAAATAAAATAAAAAACGTTAAACTAAACAATAATTTTAACTAAACATCTTATTTGAGCTAAACGCATAAAAACACACAAAAAATTAAAACCCTGTGAAAAAATAGCATGTGTTGTTCTTAGGGCTATACACTCTTCTCACAGATCCATTGATAAGCACCATTGCAAGTAACATCAATCCACCCTATTAACTCAGGGTGCTTTTTTAAATAAGTCACAGCACAATTCTCTTGTCTTCCTCCATTTGGCTCTGATATTTGTCCACTGGATGCCCAGAACCTGCAACAGCAGATCAGCATTAGATGTTTAGTGCTGCTTTCTGCGTGATATGATCCTGACTGTGAGAATCATTTATTACATAATAATCAGTTCAGTGATTTCTCACCCAGAGGTCACGCTGGTGCCATCAACCCATTCCCACCTGCCCTCTTCCTTGATGTCAGTCACACCAATCCAGAATTCTCTTTTATCAGTAATTTTTGTAACAAAATCCTAAATAGATCCAGCGTTTACGTTTATATCATGAACCGACAATGGACACATTTCATCTGACACCACAAACACACACAGTATCTCTCACTCACTTGTTTCTCTCGGTTGTTTATGATGATCAGATCTGCTCCTCTCTCTGTACAATATTTTCTACTCTCAGTCCAGCTCTTCTTCAGTGAGGAAATGAAGTAAAATCTGAAGTTAGAGCGTAACCATCCATCTGTAACCACAACCAGTTCAGTTATTAGCTCATTATTCCCACCTAGAGTACAGCGAATGCTGAAACTTGTTTTTAGATATAGCATATTGCTTAGTTGCAGTTCAAAGTTCACCCGTTTCATTGAGAATCTTCTGCAGTTGATTTCTCTCTTGATTGAACTGGTCTCTTTGTTTGAATAATCCATTCCTTTCATTTGTCAGGCTTATGTACTTGGTTAGAAGCAGGTCACTCTGTTCTGTGAGGTTGTTAATCTTGGATAGTAGCTTGTGTGTCTCTTCTCTGTAGTTTGTGTTCTTTGTATGGACGTGGACACACAGCACTATGACTGCAGTCAGCAGAACACACAGCAGCAACAAACACACTGCAGCTGCTCTGGAGCTTCTGATCTGCACTGAATCACTTCCTGAAGGTGACAGGCATAAAGATAAATGTTTCTTAATTTCTACACCCAATAAAATATAAGTTTGCTTGTATTTTACCTGTGTGTTGAGATGTATGGTTTGCCTTGGTGCATCTGTCCATATCCCATGTTCTGTCAGTGTTTATATTGCTGTAAGTACTCTCAGACATTTTTGAGTGGCTTTCCCTCAGTCGTATAAATGATGGAAGCTGTGCGTTTTTAATGTGTGGTCTTTTTAAGACTCTACTCTTAGCAGATGGGCTGGACATGGACAAAGTATAGCAGCATGTCATATCCTGTCTGCTTATACCAATTTCATTTGCATACCTTAAAAGGCATAGTTTTGCTGAAGAATATATTGTCACATGATTTGAGGTTGCTTGGTTTCACACTTTGTTTTGCACATCATCAGCATATTTATAGTCAAGTTATAGAAGAACGGAAACTATCTGAAGTCAATGTGTTAAGTTCAAAATCACATCACACAACATTGAACAAAGCTTCAAGAAATGTTTAGCACTTTGTTTGCAAAAGTTTGCAAATGTTTAGTTGTATGACAAAATATTTGTTAAACAACAACTCTGATTTGCTGGACTAAATATCCATATTATAAATATTAATTAATATTAATATTTATAATATTATTATATTAATATTAATACATATGAATGATATTTTATAATGAATGTCCTTCTCTGCCTTGAAATAAAAAGGAAGAAATGGGGGATACAACAATAATGCAAATGAATACTAATGAATGAATAATTCAATTATTATTATAAATTATTATTATTGTTACATTTTTAAAATCTTCAAGTTATGTAATGACACATTGAATACATGCATAAAAGCAATGTATATACAGGTATAGACACACACACACACACACATTCATACAATTCTTTTAGTTTTACAGTTTTATATAAAAAAAATATGATAAAATAATAATGCTGTACTAATGAATAAAAATGAAATTATCATTCTGTGTCTGTAGAATGAAGATTATTAATTTTGATATTAGTTTTAATCAAGACATTAGTTACTTGGTGTGTTATTTTAATGCTGTTTTTCAATACAGTTCAAACACATACTTATTCATTAGATAATATGAAACTTCAGAACATGTGAGCCTGAACAGAAATGTTTTAGTGTCTATACATTTCTTTTGGTTTCCTGCTTGTGTTCAAGCATACATTCCAGTAATGTTTGAGAGAGTGACAAAGACCAAAGCTTATGCAGGTTTTTTTTTTCCAGGTCTATTTTGCGTTGAACATATAGATGCTAGGTTTACTAGGGTTTAAAATGTAGCACTAGCATAAATAAGTGCAACGATAAAATAGCTTGTGTAATAATACAACTATACTTTTCTGGCATAGGATTTTAGGATTTTGTGTAAGTACTGTAAAATATAGATTCTTAAAAATAAAGGTGCTTAAAAGGTTCTTCACAGCAATGCTATAGAAGAACCATTATTGGTTCCACAAAGAACCATTCAGTCAAAGGTTCTTTAAAGAACCATCTCTTTCTTACCGTTTTATAATCTGAAGAACCTTCTTTCGCCACAAATATCCTTTTGTGAAACAGAAAGGTTCTTCAGATGTTAAAGGTTCTTTATGGAACCATTTAGACAAAAATGTTCTTCTATGGCATTGTGAAGCACCTTTATTTTTAAGAGTGTATACAAAAAAGATCATCACAAACTGTTCCACATTGTTGTCCTGTGGGAGTCATGAATGAATCAAAACTTCATGTTAAGTTTTAATCAAAATAAAAGTGGAATATTTCAGTATAAATTTGATGTCTTCAATGAGATATTCTTATGTTTTTGGATATTTCTATGATATGTCATGTCTACTAAAAGAGCAATGATCGCTTGAAATAAAGCCACAGCACATGATTGACTAACAAGCACTTTTTGCTGAATGTTGAAACAAAAATGTTTCATTTTCTTCAAAGATGTTCTGATATGGTAAAACTCAGCTGAAAATTGGTCTACGACTCTGGCGTTGGTAGGATTTTTTTAATGTTTCTGAAAGAGGTCAGTAATATTGTGAAACATTATTTTCAATAGAAAATAACTTTTCTATTGTAATATATTTAAAAATGTAATTATTTCTGTGATGCAAAGCTGAATTTTCAGCATTATTACTCTTCAATGTCACATGATCCTTCAGAAATCATTCCAATATGCTGCTTGTGCCACTCATATCCAATTGGATATAATTTAAGGTTAAAAAAACCCACATTATTTTCCACATACTGTCTTAACCACTGATTTCTAGTCGTGTCCTCTTTTGGAAGGACAAACAAAGTAGTTTCGCTTTCACAACGAAGCACACAGCGCCTTCACGACATGGTGGCGGCAGCAACAACAATACTACAGCGAGAATAAAAGTTACGCCTTCTTTCTTTGCGTGAACATTTGGGCGGCGTTATGCAAATATTCCCACATAGTGATGTAGATATGTGGGGGCGTGTTAGAACGAGCCGTTTTATGTAGGCGTGGTTAACTCTTAACTTTTATAAAGAATATCTCTTTGGATTTGAGACTTAAGTCTTTGCAACTTTACAGATCTTCTTTATGCACCAAGAGCTTGTAACACTCCAAAGAGAAAGGAAAAATTTAAATCACATCATATGACCCCTTTAATGTATCCTTCCTGAATAAAAGTATTAATGTCCATAAAAAGAAATCTTATTGATCCTAATCTTTTGAATGGTATAGTGTACCATGCTATAGGTTTTACTTTTCACAGATAAACCTTTTTAGTTGTGAGCATGAAGCATCAAACCATTCACTCTCAGTTTCCAGACAAGCACAGTCTTCTCCATCTGAGTTCTCCTGTGTCCAGTTATCAGGTTCAGATAGACCAGCTGTCCTTTTATGCCAGAACCTGTCAAAGTAAACCATTGCACATTTCTCAGTTGCAATACAGAAATTAAAATGTAGCTCAACAACACGGAAAAGATGCATTTATGCCAGCTAAAGTGAATGAACTCAAACTCTTACGTTTCTCCTGAGAGAGTTGTGTTGTCCACCCACATCCAGTGTCCTTCAGTGTACAAATCATGTAGTCCAATCCAATGCGGCTCTTTCAGCTTTATTGAGGCCAAATTATACTGGGAAAGGACATAATAAGACAGGTTCATGAGATGTGATATGTAATTGTGTCCATGTGTATTTAATAGTTATTTTGGTTATGGGGTTGGCCAAAAATACAAAACGTATTGTTGATTATCAACATTTTCTGGAAGTCAAGCACCTCTTTTTACTCACCAAGAGTTGTTTTTAAATCTAAAAACACACATAAATATATTGTACACTTACCTGATCATCTTTGCCTGTTATTTTGACCAGCTGACCTCCAGTTTTCATACAATAATCTCGACTTTCCATCCAGTTCAGTTGTTCTGAAGAGAAATAGTAGTACTTTCTCCTCTCAAATGTGCTGTCTGTGCAAGAAAAGTTTGGTACATAGTGAAATAATGTATGGATGCAGAACATCTGACATGAATGTATGCACTTTAAGAGAGCATTTATTTAGCAAAATATCCAAGCTTATTTCTTGAGCATATAACCTAAGGGTTAAAATGTCAAAGCTTTTTCCAGCTCAGATGAAGTTAATACAGATCACTGCAGTAGGATGGTCACAGTATCCAACCCAAAAGTTTCTCTTCCTCAAAAAATACACGCAGATGGGAGAAAAAAGAAAACCCAAGACAGCTAAAATTAGTACTTTAGTACTTTGGTATCAGTACTTCTGTACTTTAGTAACTTGAATTGTGAAAACAGCAGGTGTGTGTGTTACTTCCTCTCTTAGCCTTCACTGCTCATGGAGATTTAGGGAATTTAATAGAAATAGTTCACCTATATACTCACCTCAGTTTATTCATTGATATATGATTAAACTACAGTTCAAAAGTTTGAGGTCAGTAAAACTTTTGTAATGTTTTTAAAGAAGTCTCTTATATTAACCGAGGCTGCATTTCTTTGATCAAAAATACAGTAAAACAGTAATATTGTGAAATATTATTACAATTTAAAATAAGTGTTTTCAATTGTAATATATTTTAAAAAGTAATTTATTCCTGTTATCAAAGCTGAATTTTCAGCATCATTACTCCGGTCTTCAGTCACATTATCCTTCAGAAATCATTCTAATATAATGATTTGCTGCTCAAGAAAAATTTCTAATTATTATCAATGATGAAAATTATGTTTTTGTGTAAACTTCAATACATTTTTAGGAATCTTTAATGAATACAAAGTTCAAAAGCACAGCATTTATTTAGAAATATTTGTAACATTATACATTTCTTTACTGTCTTTACTTTTACCGCAAACCTTTGAACAGTATTTTTTTAGCTTAACAAAATAAATGAACAAACAAACAAAAAAAAAAAAATTGAAAATGTCGTTAAGAAAGTCCAACACAAAAAGTAAAAGACATAGTAGAGTTTCTGTCCTGTAGCAGCACATGTGACACATGGGTAACACACGGTCAATGAATTCACACACACCCACAGTCTTTTCTCACACAGTCTTGAACCTTCAAACTGAATGTCATTAATAATGACTAAACCAGAGTATGTCTCCTCACCTGTGGCATTCTGCTCCTGTATTTCAATGTCGACTGCAGCATTTCTGTTCTGTTCTTTTAACAAATCAGATGACCTCAGTAGATGGGAATCTGAAGTAAGAATATCATATAAAAGTGTACTGGTGTAACGCATATTTTATACGTAAAATATGCCATGCTTACGATGTGAGTTATATGCTGCTGCACAATATGCATCAAACTGTGCCTTGTATGTATGTATGCTGGACAATGTGTGCACCATCATAAGTGTTAAGATATTGTGTACTCACAGAGAATTCCCAGAACACACAGAGCCAGCAGAGCCACGAGCAGAGAGATACTAAGGACAGCCAGAAGAACTGCCTTATAGGACGGGTCTTTCTCTTTCCTAGATGAGAATGTGTGTTCAGGTGCATCTGTAAACACCCAGGGCAGATCTATTACACATATATGAATGTTAATTATGATACTATGTCTGCAAGTCTCTGTCTGAACACCTCAACATTTTGGTCACTTGAAATCAATTTAAGAGTCATATTCTAGCATTGAGAGGCACCTGCAATGTCTTTTCTCTTTGGATCCCAGTCCAGGTCATCACTTTCTCCATAAGTGTACCGGTCTGCTTCATCTAAGGGACGTAAAAGACCTTTTAAAATGTCAAAAGTAAACATTTTGTAAAGAAAAGAAGGTAAAATGTAAAAGCATGTCTTACCAACTGAGGTTGGCTGTTTGTTATCTTTCAGCCTTATGAAATCACCATTTGCATAGATAGCTGCCATTTTACAAGTTGTCACACACAACCAGAAATCTAATCAGACCTTAGACTAATGTAACCAGGAAATGTCATGGCTGTTTTTAACTCAACCAAGAGGAAGTCAGAACTGAATCCTTTGAAGCATATAGCTATATCCCGTAAAATTGACATTATATGATGTATTGTACATCAGCATATTGTTTACATTAATTTAAGATGATTCATTACTTGAGTATAGTTTACTTGAGTATATACAGTTGTGCTCATAAGTTTACATACTCCTTGCAGAATATGCAAATATGTTAATAATTTTAACAAAATAAGAGCTCATGAAAATTGCATGTTATTCTTTATTTAGTACTGTCCTGAATAAGCTATTTCACATAACAGATGTTTATATATACTCCACAAGAAAAAATAATAACTGAATTTATAAAAATGACCCCGTTCAAAAGTTTAGATACCCTTGAATTTTAATACTTTGTGTCATTTCCTGGATGATCCAAGACGGTTTTTCTGTTTTGTGATAGTTGTTCATGAGTCCTGCGTTGGTCCTGAGGAGTTCAACTGCCTGCTGTTCTTCAGAAAAATCCCCCAGCTCCTGCACATTCTTTGGTTTTCCAGCATCTTCTGCATATTTGAACCTTTTCCAAAAGTGACTGTATATGATTTTGAGATCCATCTTTTCACACTGAGGACAACTGAGGGACTCATATGCAACTATTACAGAAGGTTCAAATGCTCACCGATGCTCCAGAAGGAAAAACCATGCATTAAGAGCTGGGGGGTGAAAACTTTTTAAATTTGAAGATCAGGGTAAATTTAACTTATTTTGTCTTCTGAGAAACATGTAACAATCTTCTGTAGCCTCTGAAGGACAGTACTAAATGAAAAAAATATGATATTTAGGCAAAATAAGAAAAATGTATTCCCATCCACTTACATTATAAGTCTGACAGACTGCAACGTTTTGAGTTAAAAAATCTTCGTTTGTGTTCTACTGAAGAAACAAAGTCACCTACATCTTGGATGCCCTGGGGGTAAGCAGATAAACATCAAATTTTCATTTTGGGTGAACTTTCCCTTTAATCTACATCAAACAAAATTAACCCTTGCCTTAAAAAGATTGGTGTGGGCCTGACTCAGTTTGTGAAGTGACATCAAACTTCTCTCCTTCATTCGCTTTCAGGTGCTTGGTTACCAGGTATTCACTCCAAGGATCAATACACATTAGTAGAATAAAGGATATTGTCATTTTAATTTGTCTACAGAATAGAGCCCAAAAAACAGCAACCCAGTTCTCTGTCATTTTCCCCGCGACTGCTGCTGGTCAAACGCTGCACGAACAGGAAGAATTGATTTAAAAAATAAAACTAAATAAAATATTTCAGTTGCATACTGCATATAGGTTATATCTTATATAAAACTTTTATATAAAATACATAACGTCTGTTCTGTACACAGGGTTCGAGTTAAGTAATTTCGCTATTCCCAGCCACCTGAGGGCATTACTTACAGACGTCCGATAGCTTTACAAAAAATGACCCGATACAGGCGGGAAGGATTATTTTTTAGAAAATATGCCTGCAAATTATTGTTAGCCTACTTCGCGCGTTAACTTTATGCAATGCATAAGGTCGTTTCGCGGACAAGTGATGTAGAAGTCGTTAAGATGGACGACACATGTAGCCTAATTTACTTAACACAATATTTATGTAGGCAGGAAACGTTAACCATGAACATACATCTGGGATCATGAACAGATTCGATTTGAATACAATAGGGCCTATACAATAAATATGACATTAATCCTTTAATATGCATTACTGCTCGGGCTACAAATGTTTAGAAATAATGTTTAGGTCCACACACAGGAGAATCTGAGAAACAGCTAAAGTAATACAAGCGTAAATCTTTTTGCATTTGCATAGGAATTAAGTTTTTTATAATGTTGCGTCACATGTTAATCAAAGTTTCTGCTTCAAAGACTGTTAACGCTGAATGATGCACATTAAGTTATAATAGCTATAGGCTACTAATAAAAAACAATATTATAACATTTAAAGGGGTCATATGATGCGATGTCAATTTTTCCTTTCTCTTTGGAGTGTTACAAGCTCTTGGTGCATAAAGAAGATCTGTAAAGTTGCAAAGACTAAAGTCTCAAATCCAAAGAGATATTCTTTATAAACGTTAAGAGTCAGCCACGCCTACCTAAAACGGCTTGTTCTAACACGCCCCCACATACCTACCTCACTATGTGGAAATATTAGCATAATGCCGCCCAAATGTGCACGCAAAGAAAGAAGGTGTGGTTTCAGGAACAGAGAGCAGACTGTGCTTGTCGGAAGGAGGGACTTTGTAGAAAACGAAGCGTTTGAGAGAGGCGGGGCATAGAGGACCTACAATAATGTACAGTATTTGAAAAATAATGTGTTTTTTGAACATTAAAGCATGTCAACATATTCTGTTACACCAAATACACAAAATAATGATCTTTAAAATAGCATCATATGACCCCTTTAACACATAACATAATTAGGCTATAACAAAAAGCGAATTACGGTATGCGCATATAAAACACTTGTATTCAGATTTAAAAACGACATTTGCAATATTTATGTCTAGTCCGTCCACTGATGTAAAGTTCGCTCATGAAGATGAACATAATTCCCTTACGCTTTAAATTAAGCAGGTAAAATTCTCGACTTTAAAGAACTAATTTACCTGCTCATGAAGTTCGCGTTGTAAGTGTACAGTACAGGGAAACGTTAGCTATAAAAAAAAATAGATGATTTCCTATTAATTTAAAATCCCAAAATGGCGGCGGGGACGCTTTACTGTTTACTGTCAAGAGCAATCTACGAGGAGGGAGATGTTTCGCGTCCCCGGTTGCCATGGTAACTCAGACCCGTCACTATGGAACGTTCGAGGATGACGTCACATTGGGCTGCTGTAAAACCTGACTTTGATTTGGAACATTATTTCATTGTCGCTTGCTATGCGAGTAATATGAGTGAACACTGAGTGAATATCTGTCTGAACGAGTACGACAATCTTGCTGAATCGTCTTCTCATAAAAGACCAGAAATTCAGTTTAATAATAGCAAACCGAGAGAGAGATCTGTGAACACTCTCAGAACTGTGTAAACGAGAATTGTTGAAAGTCTTAATATACTGTGTAGAATATGAAGAGTTCTCATATAGGATCAGAGATGGCTTTTAACAAGAATACTTCTTCTTCTTCTTCCTCCTCCTCTTCATCATCCTCAGTTGTGGATGAAATGTCAGAGATGTCGCTGAGGAACGCATCTCTCGACTCGTCCGATGAGGAAGTTTCCTCCAGTCACACTGACAGGCTTGTGAAACATCAACTGCTGCTGAACAAAATCTTGGACCTTCAGTACAGAGCCCGAGAGCGCCAGGAGGAGTTTCAGTCACTGCTGGAGCGATTTAACAATACACGTTAGTAATCTGTTTTTAGTTATACATTTATGCATATGTAGTTCAGTACTCAGAGCACTGGCCAGGGAGTCGAACAGAGTGGTCAAGTTAATGGTCTTTATTAATTGGCCTGATTCTTCAAGCCCATACAAAAAACTCTGAAAATAGCACTTCAAATAAATAAAAGAATACAAATAAATCAGACATATTTAGGCATTTACTGGTATTCAGTTGTACTTAAATGCAAATTGATTAACCATATAGGAAGCTAGAGAGAAATAAGACACACCCATATAATTTTGCTGATTAAAAACTGCAATTTAAAATGTGATTGGGGGCGATTCCTGTGCTTGTTTATAGGGCAGCAAAATTTGGACAAAATGTTGTGATTATACAGGCTATCAATATGGCTATAAAATAATAATAATAATTATTATGATGTATTATTATAGCCTAATATAATTGTTATATAGCCTAATATGAAATTATTGTTATTGTATTATTATATTAGAAAAGAATGCTAGTAAAATAAAAATAATAGAAGAAATATTAATAATTTTAGCGCTTAAAACTATAAAATCAATAATAATATTCATGGCTTATTTCTTAATTTTCAAATATTAAACAATCAACCTTAAACCTTCATTTTTGACGGAAAGCCGCAGAGAGCCCTTAAAACTTATCTTTTGTTGATAAGCGTTTCAGGGAAGATGGATGGTGCCTAATGCATTTACAGATTTACTCTAAAGCCCCAAATTCGCATCAGATGCAGAGATGAGATCTGCGCTTCACTTTGAAACGAAGCAGCGTGTATATTGAATTAAATCGCAGCCTTTGAGATTTGACAGTCACAACAAGCCAATTCACGATTTCAGTGTTATTTTGATTATTTGTGCAGCCTTAACCCATATATTAATGTGCTTTTTAATATAATCTTAATTGCACTTAACAGTTAATGATACTTATGTTTTACTTCTTACAGAGGAATCGCTAGAATGGGAGATTGAAAAAGTGGAGAAATCCATGGTCAGCATGGAGTGGCTGGAGGACTTGCAGAAGATCGTTGATGAGTTCCAGGCCAATATGGCATACAATGTGAGCCGCCTTCGAGAGAACTTCAGAAAAATGCAGGAGGTTGCATCTAAAAAAGTTCTGACCGTGAAGCCAAAAGGTAAGTTAACGTACACACACCATCATTCATTAAAATGCATATTTGAATTGCTTTGGTTGCAATGTGATCTAAAATGCTATGTAAGGGTAGCTTACAGAGTAAAATGTTTGTTTTCAGGTAAACCAGGAAAAGATCTGGATGCCAAAGTAGTTAAAAGCATCCAGTCTCTGCCGTCTTGTCCCACGGTAGCAGAATTGAAGACGAATTCAACCGCTGCATCAACGTACTCATCAAACCTGATCAACGCGTTGAATAGCATCACCAAATCGACCTCCTGCAGTCCAGCCACGAGCAGGGCACTAAAACTATCAGCAGCGACAATTGAAAACCTCAACAAGGCTTTTCAAGATCACTGCTTGGAAATGAAGTCTCTCAAGACACCTCAGAAAGAGAGCAAAGTGGCTCAAGATGTGAACAGAGATGTCTTAGTTTCTCCTGTGCACCAAAATGGATCTGTGGTTCAGCAGCAGAAGGTACAAAAATTGCCTGCTTTTCCTGTGAAACCCAAGGCAGATGATTTTGGTTTCCCTCAGGTCAAAGAGCTTGTACGGGAGACAGATGTTGAAATGTTGCCACTAGAAAGACCAGTGGCAACATTAGACACGGCTCCAAAAGACCTCCAGAGTCCATCTGCCCATGGCCCGTTTCCTCCTGCCCTTGCCAAGACTTTTGCTCTCCCCAAGATCACACGATCTGTCGAGGAGACAAAAGTTACCATAGAGCAAAAGGCAAACGTCACATTATTTGAAGAGAAACAAGTTGATGCAGAGACAATGGAGAGAACAGAGACATCATTTGAAGAGACAATGGCTCAGAAAGACCTCCAGAGTCCATCTCCTTGTAGCTTCCATCGTCCTTCCATTGTCAGATCTTCAGCTCTTCCTCAGATTTTGCAGTCTGTGGAGGAAAAAGTTGATGCGGAGACAATGGAGAGAACAGAGACATCATTTGAAGAGACGATGGCTCAGAAAGACCTCCAGAGTCCATCTCCTCGTAGCTTCCATTGTCCGTCCCCCGTCAGATCTTCAGCTCTTCCTCAGATTTTGCAGTCTGTGGAGGAAACAAAAGTTGATGCGGAGACAATGGAGAGAACAGAGACATTTTTTGAAGAGACGATGGCTCAGAAAGACCTCCAGAGTCCATTTCCTCGTAGCTTCCATCGTCCGTCCCCCGTCAGATCTTCAGCTCTTCCTCAGATTTCGCAGTCTGTGGAGGAACCAAATGTTGATACGGAGACAATGGAGAGAACAGAGACATCATTTGAAGAGACGATAGCTCAGAAAGACCTCCAGAGTCCATCTCCTCGTAGCTTCCATCGTCCGTCCCTCGTCAAATCTTTTGCTCTTCCTCAGATTTCACAGTCTGTAGAGGAGACAAAAGTTTATGCCATGCCAGTGGAAGAACGCCAGAGTCCGTCTCCTGTCCACACCCGTCCTTCCTCGTCTGTGAAACTGCCCAAAATTCGGACTCAAGTAAAGCCATCACTTCAGAAGTCTGACAAACCAGAGACTCGCAAATATGATTCTGCAGTCTCGGGCAGCATTGAGGAGCGGTACATGAAGAACAGCGAGGAGGACGGTGACAAACTGCTTCGTGCAAGCATGAAAGACCCATCATTCGTAATTGACATCAAAGCTCAAGAAAACAACCTCCAGCAGCTGGATCGAGCTTTTCAAAATAACAACATTTCCTCTGAAATGTACAACCTGTGCAGAGGAACCGTCAATCAGACACTTAAGAGTGTTGAGCTGCGTCTTGGATGTCTTTTACGGATATACATCAAATATGTCCAAATGAAGCAATTAAGGTAAGAAAAACATCCTTTGGCTAACTGTTTGTTTGATTATAGGCTAATTATGTGTTTTGTGGTAAATAATTTTACAATGTGCCATAACAAAGATCTAATTTTTGCTCATTGCACGTTTTCTCTGTTATACAGGAAGACGCTCGATGGAAATTTCAAGGCGACCAGAAATTTAAGGGATGGACTGGAGTTCAAAAAAGTTCATTCTCAGCTCTGCAAATTTGACCGTTTCCAGCAGAGTGTGAACAAAATCTGGGACGCCAAGCAAGCCTCCACTGATGAGACACGCAGACTGTGCATCGCACGGATGGCCCATTTATACCGACAGGTCAGTACGAATTAGACAAAATGGCATTAAAGCATTGATACTGAGTCTAACACTAGTTTGTCATGTTCTAATAATGTAAACAACATTAATAATGTTTCACCTACAGGTGAATGCGGTGCATGGCCTACATCTGACAGGCATATCATGTGTGCAAAGGCATGTATCACTGCCTCTGCTCACTGTGACACCTGTGCGGTTCAGCTCCGATTTGTGTCCGTCTCCTCCTCGGGAACCGCAAACTGCAGCCAGCAGAGCCAGTCCAGCGCATCATCCTCAAATCCACCCCAAAGCTCTGCACCGCACAAAGGCGACCAGGAACATACCAGGCAGTTCCCTGAAGATCAGTCACATTCAGTATTGATGGCCAGTGTCAACAAGTAATGTGTAGAATAATGGCTTGTAAATGAACCCAAGAACAGATCACTGAAATGTCACAAAAGTAAAACAAAAGCGAGGACTCTGGAGGCTTCGCATCAGGAACGGACTCTGGCATGGACACAGCAACTGAAACAGAAACAATGGCCTGTATATAGACATAAGAAGATGGGTTCATTTACATTTGTTACACTGCACTGCTCAATTAGCAGTTATTGACATTTGATTGGTTAACCCATATTAGTGATTTTAAGCTTTGCCAGAGTCAATTATATTAACATAGGCTATGATTTTTTTTTTTTTATAAAATGTATATAGAGAGAGAGAGAGAGGAAGGTAGAGCTATGTCTTAGTCAGTGTATATTTTTGTTCAAGCTGATATAATAAAAATTATAAATAATAACGATATGAATCTCTCTTTATTGCTGGGCACCTAAATCTTTTGATTAATTATTTTGAAATTCACATTCAGTGTGTTTGTGAAGGACGAACAAAGTGCACCTGCAATGCATTTGTCTTTAGATTTCAAATCAGGTCAGCATATCTGCTTCAGGTCAGCATATCTGCTTCAGCTAAGCGATGTAGAAGAAAATACCTTAAAAATGCAAAGAAAAAAGTTTGATTTTATTTACATTCATTCATTTAGCAGAAGCAGGTGATTTTTGGATTTATTGACATTATTCTGAATTATCGCTCAACCTTAGAAGCGCATCGAGTAGATTAGGTTGTATGGTCTATAATACAGAGACCCTATAGGGACATGGTGATGGAAAATAATTATATTCCAATGCTTATGTCAGTGGACTATGAACACTAAAATAAAAATAATAAAGCATGTACATCTGGGAAAATGCTATCAAAATGTGTGTAATGTGTAAGTCTGATAATGCTCGACCTTTTTTTCTGACAAGACATGTTTAATATTTCCATCTGCTGGCGCTTTTGAGAAACACATTTAGACAAAGATGTAACTATATCCCGGTTCCAGTTGTTTAGACTCACTTTTTTTTTTTACTCTTGTTATTATGGTGTGTAAATGTACAAAAATAATTTTAGGTCTCATTATCTCTTGTTTGTGCGAGAAAAAGAGCGTCTCAAGTCATTAAAATCATGCATGAATATTCATGCTTTGTTAATTTTGCAAGTATATGTAAGTCAAATTTTGCTTGGCTACAATGTCCAGGCTAGATGTTCATATTTTCTGCTTTGATGTAACTAGTATATTCTTGATCTCTATTCTTCTCAACCTTTAAGTCACAGTAAAGTACTTGACGGCTGTATTTCATTCAAAGTATAGGCACACTTTTTCATAGTAGTGCAAATTTGGCCTGTGATGACCTTTCATCTGGCCATGTTAAATAAAAAACAAATATTCCATTTATTTGTAATTTTTGTATTTATTATTATTATTAATGAAATTTTTTTGTTTGTTGCATTTTTGCATTTAACGATAAAATAAAAAAATGCATTTAAAAAATCTACTTTTAATATAATACAGTTATAGTTATGATATAGGTTATACTTTCACCTTCAGCCCACAGAGGAAAGTTTGATTTTTGGCCATTCATAATTTGGCCATCTCTGGTCAAGAACATTTTGAGTCTTTGTCCTTCAGAGGGCAGTGTGGCAATATTTTGATTTGAACAGTGAACTTGTTACACATTATGAGGTCACTGCATGACAAAAACTGTCCTGATTCATGATTGCAACAGCCTTTATTTGTATTATGCAGCTGGAGGTGTGTTCTTAAAAAACAGAGAAAAACGACTTTAAACCACAGTCTCTTCTCATTATTCATTTATAGGGCCGTTTTTTTCCACCATCTTGTCTCTGTTGACCTGAATGGACAAGTATCATAGACAGATCGCCTCCAGGGAGCCCTGCAGTCCTTACACATTAAAATCATTTCAGCAAACACAAGGTTTGAGTTTAAGCACATAAACACGCATAATAAGCATTTCCATTGTTAAATTCATCAGACTTCATGTAGAAACCGTTTAGTGTCTGGCACTCACCCGAATAGAAATATCTTTCAGGTGAGCCCTTCATTAGTCCAATTTAACCGTCGTTTGCTCACAAAACATAAAAGCATCATGGAAAAGGTCACCAGTAAAAAGATTTGTGCTGAAAACTGAACGTGTTAAAGGAACCGCAGTCGTCTAAAAATCGCACTCCTGGCCAAGCAGAGCAGGAAAGTGGTAGAAAGAAAAGAGAGAGTGAGAAAGAGCACAAATTTTGTCCACGATTCACATTATCACACCGTCTGGCTCTTTCAGACAATCAAGATCATTTGAGGCAAGATTAGGGTGCAGGGTCAAAGGTCAGAGGTTGCCTTCGCCGCATCTAGCCGTTCAGACCTCAGAGCCGCAAGTCTCAGAAAAGCCATGGCAGTATCCGCACCACAGTCCGAGTGAGGAGGACTTTAGGCACCAGTGGGGTTTTCATCCAGACCGAATCAGTTCTTATTTTAATAGCAAATCAGCAAAGTGCATCAGTTGTGGCCCAGTCTGTCAGGTTCAGCTCGGTTCTGAACAGCAGGGTGAGGGTGCAGTCACATGATGCAGCACTTGTTCTTGAAAATGTGCGGGTGTTTGTAGCGCAGTATGCTACCGTAAAGTAACTTGTGCATTGTTTTACTTACTTGTTTTTGACGTATCCGACCGAACTACAAACTTTCCAGTGATGTGAGAAAGGTATATTCACTCGACAAGCTCGCGCATCTGCGCCGCCGCGCGCTCAATCCACTCAGCGTGCTTTGTTTATCAGCTCGCGCACATCAGCTATACAGACGTTAATACTGAAAGTTTAACATTATATTCATTGCATACATATACTTCGTAGACATCCTTAATCTCTTATAACTCCATTCTGCTGTCTGTTGTTCTGTTGTCGGTGTCTCTTTGTCTGAATATGGCACTGATCACATGCTGTGTGGTATCGGCGTTTGGTATCGGGGCATTTTGACGAGTACGAGTACAGGAGCTCAGTATCGGGCCCGATACCGATACCAGTATCGGTATCGGTGCATCCCTATTGATTTACATTCGTCACGTTCCAACCGTATGAAACCAGGCAGATAAAAATGGCTTGCGATCTCATGTTTCATTCCAGCCCACGCTGGGCTGAAAATAGCATTGAAATTAAAACGGTAACCAAAGGGACGGAGCTTAAAGGGTTAATGGTGAATCTTTTGCATGTCGAAAGCTTGCAGCTTGGCCTTGCTATCAAAAGGCACTCTGGCAAGCGCAAGCGACTGAGAACTAGCGTTTAAGATCCACTCGTATGAATGTAGCAGTTGACGTCAAGAGCTCAAGGTCTGTGGTTCTTGAAAGAAGTCAAGAGAGAGATGTACGCACTGTCTGATGAACTGGATGGCATCTTCATACTTCATCCCACTTTCAATCAGTGCCACGGCCACAAGTACTGGAGCTCTGCAGAAAAAGAAAAAAAAACATTTTGAGAGAGGTGCGACATTGACCTAAACGGACTGCTCTATATGTGTATGAGAGAGATCTCTCACAGAAACACTGTTAGACACGTACACTAGCAATGTCAAAATGGCATTTTTTGTACGTTTTGTATTCTTGTTATAAAAAAATTTGAAGGATTGAACACTTAATGTGCATCTTTGTTTTATTGTTTTTATTTGTTATTTGTCTATTACATGCAAGTTTACTTAAAGGGGGGGTACAATGCTGTTTCATGCATTCAGAGTTGTTTACACTGTTAAAGAGTCGGATTCTCATGCCAAGCATGGACAAAATTTCAAAAAACAATTTGGACATATGACGGAGTATTTCTGTGCTAAAAACCTTACTTCCGGGTTTGTACAAGTTTCGGAGAGTTTTTTTTCAATCGTGGCTCTTCATGACGTAGACGAGGGTGAAACTCCTTATATGGGCATTTCTCCCGGAAGAACGCGCTCGCGCTCGCGCACGCATCGACCAGAGTGAGAGCAAGATCGAGATCGCGCCCATCAACGCGCTTCATCCAGCGGCAGCGCTGCACGGGACTTGCTCGGGAAGAATGTCTCCAAAGAAGTGTTTTTTTGGTTGTAAAGGAAAGATAACTTTGTTCAGCTTCCTAAAGAACCCAACGTTATGTAAGTTAAACAGTGGATGCAGTTTGTTTTTCCGGAGCAGCAACGGAGTTTCACAAGTGTGTTTGTTCACAAACGTTTTATAAGCAATGCCCAGTTCGATGCTGGATTTGCACATCGTTTGATACTGAAGGATGGAGCTGTCGAGCTGTAAAAGTTCCCGGTCATAATTCAGAACTGCAGACGGTAAGTGAAACTGCATCAACTGTCTGTATTTTGTTGGCAGTCGGAGCTCAAGTGCTTGTCAATCTTTAGCTCCGCCCACGGCGCGCCTCCAGGAGCTCGGCTTTTTCCGGAGAGAATCGTAAAGCTGTATCTTTCTTTTATAAATATGATAAAACTAAAGACTTTTTGGAGATATAAAGG